GTTCCACCGTATCCCCGTCACTTAGCAGCACCGCAGCATCTTCTCTCTTGGTTATTACCGATTTCCACACACTTCCATACCGAGACAGGTTCTGCGCATACACCAACGGGCCGACCTCGCCCGGATTCCCGTTGTCGAAGATGATAGTGTAGATCCGCAGGTGTTTGCCGGAGATTGACATATCGCCAAAGATCGGAGCGTTACTATATTTAAGCCAGGTAGGGATGGGAATGATCGATCAGTTATATTCAGCAACCAGTATGGGGCTGGGGGGAATCTATTCGCTGTGGATCATTCGTCTCCAGCCTACCATTTCCTAGGATTGCGACCGATTATGAGTTCCTCATCTGCGTGAATGTCGATTTCTGCTTGCAAAACATGGCCTTGGTTAGATTAGGTGGAGGAATTGTCTGTCACTTATGGTGCTATCATGGGAAGTCGTTTGGGGATAGTGAGGACTTCAAACGTACGGCCGGCAGGATTCCCATCATTCCACACATGGAGATATCCAACCAGAGAGGTCGAGTCGGGAGAGGACGGAGATCTACCCGGCTCGATAGATGGAGCCATTATTGTTGCTAGGGGCTGGGAAGCTGGAGTGTGATTGACACCCGCGTTCGTTCACACTGAGGAGGTGATCCGGGGCAGAGTGACTGATATAAGAAAATATCAAGTTATGATAGAAATAGAAAAAGGGGCAGCTGTCTGAAAAGAATAGCTAGAATAATATGCCTTCCATTCTGTAAAAATAAAATGACAAATGCACGCTTTGGAGGTGTGACCATTATTTTCTAACACAGGATGGAGTTGTTGAAGACCAGGAGAGAAAGGTGGGCAGGATCACTGTCATGAGAGCGTGCTAGGGAATGAATGCTATCTCGCACTTCACCACCGCGAGATATTCCCACCAAATCCTTCCTTGGTCTTGGGGTTTTATTTCATATTTGAAATCCACACACGCTTGGTGGTATGGTGCCTCGTATCTTTGTCTTTGTTGGTGTCAACTCGTTTTAGATCCCTCTGCGAGCTTAAACTTTTTGGACCGTCATATATAGTTGTCTATATATAAATAGACAAGCTTTCTAGTTCGATGGTCACTTGCTACTTTATCACGGAGCACTCCCACATAGGACAAAAGGAGGTACGATTCAGAATATGGCACTCAGATGACTGGCTGACTATTTTCGATTTTGAAATGACTCTTTTTGAATAACATCCAACTCCAAAAAGGGATTCTACCTCTGGGCGAGGAACAGAATCTATGACACCCTCTTCCCCTCAAAATAGAGCTGGCTGGAGGGATAGCGAAGTAAACAGACCCCATAAACCGCTTGCATCGTCAAAGGACTTTGTCTAGCCAGTAGCAAAGCGGGGCTGTATGCATAGTACAGTCCACCCACCGCTGCTTGGTCAGGGGGACGATGCCAGCAGGGGGCATACATGCTGGTTATAGTGGGTGGTGATGATGTTCTTTCTCAGTCCGACTCTACCGGCAAAAGTAAGACTTGACCTGTGTGTGTGGTTAGTGGTATCGTCAAAAAGGATCCATCAAGCTTCTATTTTATGTGTCGCTCATGTATCTGTCCCTGGTGACTATTTGGTGGAGCTAGGAGGGTGATCTGCTTCGTATTGTGGGCAAATTCGTTATGCGTCATCCGGTATGGGCTGATATATTCATGATCAACACGAAGCATGGTTCCTTCGCAAAAGAGAGTAGGTTTCATGGGACAGAAGCCTTATCTGTCAGGATTAGATATTTGAATCATCGATCCATGTTATATATCATGCAAACTCTCCGGTATAGAGTCATCTGGAAAAGGATGAAGGTTGATATGAAGTTCCACTAGACGATGGCGTTGGAGATAGTTCCTATCATCCTTCCAGGAAATCTACTAGATACCATGAAAGAGAATAAATAGTAGCTCCCATAGCAGGGATAACTGGCTATGTTACGGACTGGGAGGTGGTATTAAAATAAATCTACAAACTTTACAACCCACCGCCGGCTTGCATTCTTCGAATCCGTTCCTCCGCAGCCCTCGCCCGCCGCTCCCGCTCAAGCCTCGTCCGCATCTCCGGCGTCATCCCTCTCATCTCCTCCTCCCGTTTTTCTGCACCGGTCTTCTCCAGCAGGCGCTGCCCGCCCGCCTTCTTCCGATTCCCCAGAGCCCTTTCAGCATCCTCTCGTTTCAAACGCTCTGCCTCAGCTTTCCGCCTGCTAGCCTCTGCATCTGCAGCCGCTTGCCTCTCGCGCTCTGTTCTGTTCTCCGCTTCTGTCTTGGATAGCGGGGGTGGGACGTGGGCGGCGTCCCAGTCCCATTTCGATTCGCCAAGCTCGTGGCGGGCGACGCGGAAGGCGTCGCGTGTGGGCCTGTCGCCCGCTAGGTCGAAGGGTGGCTTGCCCTCTCCGTTTAAGATGGTGGGGTCTGAGTTGCATTTTGTGAGGAGAGCTAGGACGATTGCGGGAGAGTTGGAGCTTGCGGCAAGATGAAGAGGTGTTGGCGAGTGGTGCATTTGCTGGGAAGAGGATTGGTGAAATGTGAAGGATGGAGGGATGGAGTTGTTTGTGATGTAGGATATTAGCGCGGGGATTTTTGAACGGCGGATTAGAGCTTGGATTTGGGAAGAATGTAATATCATGGTCTCATCCTCTTGGGATAGTTTTTGCTGTTGCTGTTGTAATTGCTGTGAAGATGGTTTGGATGATTTGGACATTGTTTCACTCGGCTTTTCGGCCTCTAGTGCAAGCGCCGCTTCATCAATGTGGCTAACTTTTACACGAGTAAGTTCGGTGAATGCTCTCATAAGTTCTCCCTGTGTGGCTCGCCGGGTTGTGAACGGGAATCCGCGAAGTCTGGAATCCGAAGACCTGAGCACCTGTCCATCGTACGGCCCAAATAAAATTCTCCGATTCATGTTTCCCGTCGCCCTTATGAAGAGCAGTTGTGCTTGGTCGATTATTTCCTTCCAGCTTCCCAGCAACTGTCTGATTTCAGTTTGCAATGCAGCCTCGTTGTATCTTCGGATCGACGCACCTGCGGAATGTGCAGCTCCATGTGCCGCATCAGCGGCGGATTGGGAGCCACCCTGTTTTCGCCTTGTTGTGTATCGATGAAATGTTTTATGAGCGAGTACCCTTGCCTGCCGCTCCTCAATTCCACCGGGTTTCTTTATTATCTCTGGCGCTAAGGCCACTATCATTGCTGCAAAATGCCCGCCGCCAATCATACACAGGAACACGTGGGGACTGGGCTGTTGGAGTTTGCTGGTTCTATCACTGGTATGGGAGGTTTTGTTTGGTTGATACAGCGATGCCTTGTATTGCTTATTCCTCAGAGATTCTAATAAATGGTCGGTTTCTTCTTGCTCTGTGTTGGTGAAAAGCGCTCGATAGATACCCAAGGACGTTGCCTGTGGAAGCAAAGAGCTTGAAAACCAGAGCAACGGATGTTTCCCAGGGTTTCTTGTTTGTTTCGCTATTATCTCCTCCGCTTCTGCCGTAGATGATATTTTGGCCTGTTTCTTAAGGAGTGCCGTAAGCGTGGTATCAGGTGGTTTTTGTCCTTCTTCTACCTCCTCTTCTTCGTCCGATGACGACTCAGACCCGGATATCGATTCATCCAACTCCCCAATCGCCTTATTGAATTCGACCTCATTTAACACGGGCGTTCCTCGCAATCGTGATTTCAAGTTGTATCTGTGGTGGTCTGACTTTACATGGTCCCTCTGTTCATGGACGTCCTGGAAGGATACATGGCACAATGAACATGTCGTAACGCCCGTCGCTCCATCTGACCGCTCCGCTTGGTCTAACGTTTTATGGCGGTCGTCTAAATTTGGAGGAACAGGAGATTGCGCGCCAGTAGCCTTTCGTGATAGGGAAGCAAGTAGCTGTGCTGGGAGATCGAATACTACGCATAGACACACAGGGTGCAATCTGTTAGCTTCCCCACGACAAGACGAACTTGAGTACAAATGAGGCTATGCTCACCGTATAACGGTCGCTTCAGAAGCTCTTGTCCCGTATGGACATCCAGCGCCATGGCGACAGTGCCCTCCTTCTTCTGTTGGTTGAAAATTTAAATATATACTGGAATCAGACCGACACTCTCCTTAGGTTTTTATAGATGTTCTTCAACTGAGAAAGTGCAAGTATGCGCTAGTCTGTATGTAGTTAGTGACATCGTACTCTCTGCCATGACCGCCAAGCGAAGCCTTCAACTTAGGTGCGTCAAAAGAGAGTCAACATGAGAACCGAACAGTCATCTTATCCTGAGTCATTGCTGGGTGGCGGGTTGGATGCAACGGAGTGCCAATGGCAACAGGGAACCCCTTGTTTTTTATAGTACTATGTATTCATGGATTCAGGGCACCAGGCACCGCCAGTAGAAAACTGAATGCTCGGGTCTAACGGACGTAGCGGACTTTTGTATGACCGGCCCGAATTCCCGCCTTGGATGAGTGTCACTGTGATTAGCAATGCGCACGATGACAAATCGATTCTCTCCAGGCTGCACTTTGATGCGTGGATCTGCTGCACGAAACACGAGGTGACAGGGTTACATCAACACACACTGACGCGCGACGACCTGTGCACGACTGGAAGCACCAATATTGACCTGATAAAATAGCTACAGCTCATCTCTCCATTTAAACATAGCTGGATCCTGAAGCCTCTGCATGCACAAGCAAGAGCATCTACTCCGCGCATGCCGAAGCAGCTCGGAGAAAATAGAAATAGAACGATGACAGGCACTAGTCCCCTTGCAGTCTAGTTGCGCCGTGGCTGCCAGGTGCTTTAGTAAGCCAGCGTTTTCCATGGGGTCCAAGCTTCTCCGCCGGTTCTGGTGCCGTTTAAATTCGTTATCATCCCCGGCAAAGAAGAAACAAATTCCACGACAACTCGCTGTCTGTGTCCCTCTCACCACCTCTCCGGGTGTCATAGCACCCGCTGCCGCTGGCTCTTCCCATTTTACGGCCCACGCTTCATTGGCCCGAATATGGCTCTGAATGGAATCCCTCAAGTGGTCCTATCCGCTTCACGATCTTCCAATGTCAGCTCCTCATTGCCTTCAGCTCTCGTCCGCCGGCAAGCTTTCTGCGGCGATAGTGAAGGATGGGGTCCGATAAGCGGCACGAGGTTCGACTTCACACCTTGTTTTCTAGATGTCTGGGTATCTCTGGTGGCCGTTTGGGGTCTGGTTATGGGCGCTGGTGCTATCTGGTTCTTATTTACGAAGAGGACCGCTCAGCCCGTACAGAAGAATTGGCATTTCTACGCAAAGTTGGTAAGCTGTTCTGTGACCTTCTCCTCAAGGTGTTATATTTTTCTTCTTTTTATCTTTCTTTCTTTCTTTTTTTTTTTTTTTTTTTTTTTGAGATCTAATACCGTTATAGGCTGTCATATGGGCTCTCATCTTGGTGACCATGCTCCAAGCTTCACTTCAGGTGGAGACTTCCCCCAAGATATGGTTTGGAGACTTTAGGTTCTGGACAACTATCCTCATTCTCGCATCGTTGGGCGTTATATATGCTGTGCAATACTATGAGCATTGGAGGAGCCGACAACCGAACGGGGTCGTTTTATTCTACTGGCTATTTTTAATGATCGTCTACGCCGTTAAACTCCGATCTCTCGTTTCCCAGCAATTGTACCGACATCAATTGCCCTATTTTATCACGTTCGCTGTCGGTCTTGGCCTTGTCATAACCGAGTTTGTGTTGGAATATTTTATCGAGAAGCAACAAAGCGCATATGATGCGCTGGGAGACGAGGACGAGTGCCCGTACGAATATGCTGATATCTTTTCCGTTTTGACTTTCTCTTGGATGACGCCTTTGATGAAGTTTGGTTACAACAATTTTCTCACCCAAGATGATCTGTGGAATCTGCGTCGCAGGGATACCACATATGTCACCGGTAGCGAATTGGAGAAAGCGTGGGCTCATGAACTGAAAAAGAAAAAACCGTCGCTCTGGTTTGCTTTATTCAGAGCGTTTAGCGCACCATATTTCCGGGGGGCTGTGATAAAATGTGGGAGTGACATTTTGGCTTTTATCCAACCTCAGCTTCTACGGCTCCTTATCACATTCATTGATTCATTTCGGTCTGACACCCCGCAACCAGTTGCTCGGGGTGTTGCAATTGCTCTCGCCATGTTCCTTGTTTCAGTAAGCCAGACGGCTTGCCTTCATCAGTATTTCCAGAGAGCATTTGAAACTGGAATGCGTGTTAAGTCTTCGCTGACCTCCATGATCTACACAAAGTCCCTGAAACTTTCGAATGAGGGCCGCGCTTCAAAAACCACTGGTGATATCGTCAACCATATGGCCGTTGACCAGCAACGACTTTCTGACCTGGCTCAGTTTGGAATGCAACTGTGGTCTGCGCCGTTTCAAATTACACTCTGTATGATATCTCTATACCAGCTTCTTGGGTTGAGTATGCTTGCCGGTGTTGGGGTAATGATATTGATGGTTCCACTTAATGGGCTTATTGCAAGGATAATGAAAAACCTTCAAATCAAGCAAATGAAAAATAAGGACCAGCGAACCAGGTTAATGACCGAAATTCTGAACAACATGAAAACTATCAAGCTTTATGCCTGGAATACCGCTTTTATGAACAAGCTAAACCACGTTCGCAATGACCTGGAGTTAAATACACTCAGAAAAATTGGCGCCACACAGTCCGTTGCTAACTTTACTTGGTCATCGACACCATTCCTAGTCTCTTGCTCCACTTTCGCCGTGTTTGTTTTGACGAATGAAAAACCTTTGACGACGGAGATTGTTTTCCCAGCATTAACCCTTTTCAATCTACTAACGTTTCCTCTGTCTATTCTCCCCATGGTCATCACGTCCATCATCGAGGCTTCAGTCGCAGTGTCTCGCCTCACGACATACTTCACGGGGGAAGAATTGCAGGAAAATGCGGTTACATTTGAGGAGGCTGTTTCTCACACTGGAGATGAGTCCGTACGAATCCGGGATGCATCATTTACATGGAACAAACATGAAGGTCGAAACGCCCTGGAGAATATTGAGTTCAGCGCCAGGAAAGGAGAGCTGAGTTGTATAGTCGGTCGTGTAGGTGCTGGAAAGTCATCTTTCCTACAAGCAATGCTAGGAGATCTCTGGAAGATCAATGGAGAAGTGATTGTCCGAGGTCGCATTGCGTATGTCGCACAACAAGCTTGGGTTATGAACGCTAGTGTCAGGGAAAATATTGTCTTTGGTCATCGCTGGGATCCCCATTTCTACGAGGTTACTGTAGAAGCATGCGCCTTGCTCGACGACTTCAAGACTCTTCCAGATGGCGACCAGACTGAGGTTGGTGAACGTGGTATTTCTCTCTCTGGTGGCCAAAAAGCCCGTCTAACGTTGGCAAGGGCTGTGTATGCCCGTGCCGACATATACCTTTTGGATGATTGCCTATCCGCTGTGGATCAACATGTAGGGAGGCATATTATTAACCGAGTCCTGGGTCGGAATGGCGTTCTGGCTGGCAAAACAAAGATCCTCGCAACTAATGCTATAACTGTGCTGAAAGAAGCGAACTTTATCGCGTTATTGCGGAATGGGACTATCATTGAGAAGGGAACATACGAGCAACTCCTAGCCATGAAAGGGGAGACTGCGAATATTATCCGCACCACTACAACCGAAGATGATTCCGGCTCAAACGATAGCTCTAGGGAAGACGAAAGCGTGAAAAGCCCTGAGACATTAGCAATCGCTGACAATGAGGATGAATCTGATCTCTCAGAAATAGAAGAAGCCCAGGAACGATTGGGGCCTCTTGCGCCTGCGCAGAATGGACGTGCCATGCGGCGGGAGAGCACTGTAACTCTAGGACGCGCAAGCACGGCGAGCTGGCAAGGCCCACGCAAAGTCGCGGACGAGGAAGGTGCTCTCAAATCTAAGCAGACGAAGGAAACTTCTGAGCAAGGAAAAGTTAAATGGAGTGTCTACGGCGAGTATGCGAAGACGAGCAACCTCTATGCTGTGGCGAGTTATTTGACGGCACTTCTATTGGCACAAACGGCGCAGGTTGCTGGCAGCTTCTGGCTAGAGAGATGGTCAGATGTAAACAAAAAATCGGGAAGGAATCCGCAGGTTGGGAAATTTATCGGCATTTATTTTGCGTTTGGATTTGGGTCTTCTGCTCTTGTTGTCCTACAGACTTTGATTCTTTGGATATTTTGCTCTATTGAGGTATGTTTATCGGCGATTTATGCGTTTATACTGATATATGGGATGTTTCACTAACGGCATTGTCAAGGCATCCCGTAAATTACACGAGAGAATGGCATATGCTATTTTCAGGTCTCCTATGAGCTTTTTTGAAACCACACCTTCTGGCAGAATTCTTAATCGCTTCTCAAGGTTTGTCTTTCTCCTCGATGCTGGTCAATTCAACCCTGTTTCATTGCTAACGCTACTCAATTTAGCGATATATATCGAGTTGATGAAGTTCTTTCCCGCACATTCAATATGGTAGGATTTCCCCCTAACAATTTTTGTGTGTTAAGTACTCAATACTAAGATGGAAAAACCAGTTATTCGTCAATGCTGCCAGAGCAGGATTTACAATGGTCGTCATTAGCGTGTCTACTCCACTCTTCCTTGTCATGATTCTTCCTTTGGGAGCAGTTTATTTTGGATTCCAAAAGTATTATTTGAGAACTTCACGCGAACTTAAAAGATTAGATAGTGTCAGCAAGAGCCCCATCTACGCTCACTTCCAGGAAACCCTCGGCGGCATCTCTACGATTCGCGCATATAGGCAGCAGGAAAGATTCTCAAAGGAGAATGAGTATCGGATGGACGCTAACCTTCGAGCATACTACCCTTCCATTAGTGCGAACAGGTGGCTCGCTGTGCGTCTAGAGTTCATTGGCTCTGTGATTATCCTTGCAGCAGCCTCATTTCCGATTCTGTCTGTGGCAACTGGAGTCAAATTGTCTGCTGGAATGGTCGGCCTTTCGATGTCGTACGCGCTCCAGATCACCCAGTCCCTAAATTGGATTGTGCGACAAACAGTCGAAGTGGAAACGAACATCGTATCGGTCGAGAGAGTGCTCGAGTATGCAAACCTACCCAGCGAAGCACCTGATGTCATTTTTAAGAAGCGGCCGCAGATTGGGTGGCCGTCCCAGGGTGGTGTACAGTTCAAAGATTACAGTACCCGATACCGAGAGGGCCTAGATCTAGTCTTGAAGAATATAAATCTTCAAATTCAGCCTCACGAAAAAATCGGTGTCGTTGGTCGGACAGGTGCAGGTAAAAGCTCATTGACTTTGGCGTTGTTCCGCATCATTGAAGGGACATCAGGCAGTATCAGGTGAGTCTCTTCGTTGGGAGGGTGGTCAAATTTCTGGGACCTTTGTTTGCTGACTTCCGTTGTGACAGTGTCGACGGATTGGACATCAGTTCTATTGGCCTATTCGATTTGCGGGGTCGCTTGGCAATCATTCCCCAAGATGCGGCCATGTTCGAAGGAACCGTTCGAGACAACCTCGACCCGCGCCACGCCCATGATGACACCGAGCTCTGGAGTGTTCTCGGTGAGTCCTCTTCAGCTTTGGATGCCCAACCATTAGTTCCACGCTGACCACCACTGTCGATCAGGACATGCACGGTTAAAGGACCACATTTCCAGTTTACCTGGACAACTTGATGCACAAATCTATGAAGGAGGTCAGTTTTTTGAGTCACCCGGCTAATTAGATATCTTATCATTATAATTTTTTAATCTGATAACGTGTTTGCATTCTTAGGCTCGAATCTTAGCCAAGGCCAGCGACAACTTATTTCGCTAGCCCGGGCCCTCTTAACGCCAAGTAACATTTTGGTGCTAGACGAAGCCACTGTAAGCCACGATTTCCTTTACCCCAGTAAAAAGCACCCAATAGTCCTCCGTGCTCTTCCTTTGCTTCTTCTATTTTTCTTTTTCTGTCCAGCCAACTTTGAGATTTTGATTCCTCATCATTCATTCGTTTCTTTACAGGCCGCTGTCGACGTGGAAACAGACGCACTGCTACAGCAGATGCTGCGAAGCAACATTTTCCGTGACCGAACCATCATCACCATCGCGCATCGCATAAACACTATCCTGGATAGTGATCGGATCGTCGTTTTGGACCATGGATCTGTTGCTGAATTCGATACCCCAGCCGCGCTTATTCAGCGCGGTGGCCAGTTTTACGAGCTTGTGAAAGAGGCTGGGCTCCTGGAAACTAGCGTCAGTGCCGGTAGTGATACTAACACCAGTACGCCGACACTTCCTTCGTAAACAAGGAACAAATGGCGTTGCCCATCCTGTTTCTGGTTTTTGGCTTCTGTTCTCTTCGAGATTCACTGCTCTGTCGCCGTGCGCGTGGATGAGGGGTTGTACAGCGATAGATAAAGAAGGAAGGGGAAGCGGCGAAGGAAATCTTGTACTTGCACATATTATCCGCCACAATGTTCAATATTTTGTTTTCTTGTAGCCCTTGACCCTCTTCTCGTAACTTGTTTGGAGATTTTGCTTGGGTTTTGGAGCGCTGCTTCTTTCTTCATTTTTCTCCTACTATCGATGGCCTCTCTTCCTCCCCCCTTTTTTTGCTGGAATTTTTCTGATTCGATTTTCATTCTTTAGCGCATCGGGGAAGCCGGATTGACCAGCTTGTCGGTATGCTGAAAGAAACCCAAAATGCTGGGAAAGGAACAATAGTAGACATCTAAAGAGCCGGATTACTATATTGAGGCGAATTATTGACTGGGATGTTTTACGTTCTTTTCTCTTGGTGTGGAAATAGCCCTGATGAAAGTGCGAAAATTAAGGGGCTTGGGGACAAGATGCGACGGGCCTTCCCTGCAAACGCAGCATAAGAGGGCAAGCCTACACCATTTTGCTTTTTCTTTCACTCCTTGCCCCTGTTGCCCCTCCATACCTTCTCATATCTGCCCGAGGAGTTCCTCCTCGATCCTTCTTGACATGGCCCACCCCACCGTCGATAATGATTCCGAAGCTGAGGCGGAAGAGCAATTTGCGTGGGGCCGCAGAACCCGCCCTTCAAGCCCATGTCGCGGAGGGTTTCTTGCCTGCCTCCCGCTTCCCGTCCCGAGACGGTAGTAGTAAGAAACACTATTGGCTGGGCTACAGAGTAAAACGTATGGATTCCTCCGGCCTCAAACAGATTGCCCATCATTCAAACGTTAATGCCAGATGCACCAGCAATGACGCGTCTTTGGTCTGTAATTTTTGATGGCATGCATAAAAACATCTTGAACCAAGGAAGTCTGTTCTCTCCCCCACACTATACCCTATTCAATTCTCGCTGGGTTTGCCCACTCCGCGCCGAGTCAGCGGTAAGCTGAGGCTGGCTCAATCACAGCATCAATCCATTTATCTTTGCGCAGCGTCAGTGACATCCTGGACAGTCCGTATTGAAAACAGTGGGCCCACGATCTGGTGGTGGCTTAACCCCAGGAACGGTAAGGGGAAATTCACAACCCCGAGGCGCATTGCTTTTGGCTCAGAGCAATGATAACCCGTTCCGCGACCAGCGTGGGTCGGGACCTTATTTTTGGACTCTTGGAGGCCTTGTGCTTGGCTTGAGCTTTAACTTCTTAACTATCATAGGTAAGTGTGAGTGGCGGGAAGCTAAAGTGGCGCGTTTGGGGGTTTTTTGTGCAGCCTGTAGGTAGTCCCTGTCGCCCAACACAGTCGAACACCCCCGAATGTTGGCCGGAGCTCCTTCTGCGACTTAAGAGGAATAGCACATGAGCTCCGGACAAGTGGCCGCATCCACGTTGACTCAGAAATTCAGAATGCCCGTCTCCCCCTGCAACCCACCCCTGTCATCCGTTAAACATCCCTGGACCCTTGATCAATCCCAAGAACCAACAGGACGGGCAGGGACAGGGGTAGCAACCCCTGAGTATGCTTACTACTCGGGTTAGAGCTGGCATTCAAACTGAACTAGACGGGGATCCGGTAACGGGGCCCAGCTGCGGGGATTTGGTGTGTGCCATATGTCTCAAAAATAAAGTCAGCCCTTGGGCAAGACGTTTTCTGTCCAAGCTGTTCTGAAATCTCTTCGCGAAGAAGCCATGGCTTTTGATAAGCTAGGAGAGGGACCCACCCTTGCCCAGCCAGTAAAATTCTGCGCTATTCAATTTGGGTCTGAGGGGAGGGTTAGCGGTGATGTTGAACTGGATAATTATTCACATATTTTATCATGCTTGACATAGCGGGGCTGAGTGACTGCATGGGCGTCTGAAGACTTTGGTATGGACGTTCCGGGGGCGTTATGAGGCGTCCAATGGCGTCACCCTAGTGGTTTTAGAAGTCCCATCTGTGGTGACGGATTCGGTCATGACAACCAAAATGTTTGACAGTCGGGGGGAGGATCAGGAGAACTAGGTTCAGATGTTTCCGTACGGAGTACTATGAATAGGATTAGGGTTAGGCTACAGCTAGGCTAGCCGGATGACAGTTGGCTAATTCCCCATCGAGCATTCAGATCCCCAAGCCAACCTATGCTTGAGACATTGTGGAAGAGTGGGTTACTGGCCCTTTCCCATTTACGAGTTCAATAACCATCATGTATGGGATGCGGCGTTGTGACTTCGGCTTTTAATCCATCCAATTTGGCAAGCCGCACTTCCCCATCCGTGCGCATCGTATTCCGCCATTATGATCATCCGTCCAAAGAGAGCAACGAGAAACAATAATGCATGCTCCCCACCATTTTTCAACCTGCAGGGGCCACCAGGTCGCGAGCCTGACATTGAAGATAGCACGGGACGCGGCAGACAGCACGCCGACAGCCGATATGAGAATCCTTCTTCCTAATTGCCAGCTACCTTGCCCTGCAATCGGTCACTAGCATGTAATCACAACATGCGATATTGATCAATAATACTAATAGTAGTAATAACAATAATAATAATAATAATGGAAGGAGAATGGAGGTTCGTCGAGATCGCGACTCACGGATTCTTCTCCTTCTCCTCCATCAACTACGTTCGATGCCCTCGACGGTTAAAGCGATACTGTTCACTAATCGCGTGCGAGTGAATCCAGATGCCGACGAATATTCCAAAGCGCCTGTTAAATGTACCCGCCTCTACGGGGTATTTTGTGAGAAGATATGGGAAGTTGTAATCAAATTTCCTATAACTTCGAGGACACGATGTGGTTCGGAATTTATGGTTGTTTGAATCAAAGCATGAACGGTAGGAGTCAAGTGTCAGCTCGCCGTCACAAATGATGACCGCTTTGTTTCTTCAGTAATAGAATTGCAACTTTGAAGGAGATGCGCCAATCCCTCAATTAACATAGCGGAGCGGGTTGAAAAGAAGCTTCCCCTCCAAAAAAGATGTTTCGTAAAGCGAAATATTGAAAGGGGCACTGGAATAACGTTTCTATTATTGTTAGAAATGACTCTCTAACTGCAGTTGAAAACAAGAAGAAGTCTAGAGAAATCATCCAATACTTACCATGTACTTTGAATGTATCAGGGAGGCAAGCTTGCTCCCTCTCGCAGAGCGCCCTCGATTGACCCCTTCGAATGAAGACAGACCGACATGAGTCGGAACGAGATCAGTGACAAACTTAAAATTTCACATTCAAGCACCAGTTTTGCATTTTAATCGAAAGACAAACGTCCTTAACTCAATCAATCAAAATCCTCATTTAGCTGCTTCTCGGAGCACATTGCTACCGATGCAAGAAGAAACCACTGACTGACCAACATATGAAAATGATAACATGTGGAAAAAGGGTGACATAAAAGCCGAGAGCCCAGCCAATCAAAATTCGAATCTATTGTTTCTGCGCCGTAAACTGACCTCAGTGGCTCGGAAATGGCATCCAACGGAAAAAGCAAGAAGAGCAGAAAGAAGAAATAAAAGTAAAAAAACGGAGAAACGACCCAACCAGGAGCATGCGTTGGGTTGCCGCTCTCAAGGGATAATCCGGTTTCCGTCAATGATGATATAACCTGAATATTTCAATTCAATATCAAGATTGCTAGCATTCTGACACCTACCAGATCGCCGAATGATCAGTCTTGACATTGCCGCTGCAAATCACCATTCGTTCGGCCCAAAATTCCTGCCAATTAGCTTACCTCAAGGGCAAATACGTAAAGGTTTGGATAGCGCTGATTGTATACGCCTCAAACCTTGAAGAAATCTCAAATGATTGCAAAACAAGTCTGCTAGAAATACAAAAACCTCTAACACCACCTGAAGACCATGCCGTCGGAATAACAGATAGATATTAATATTTATAAGTTTACAACAATCTGACGATGCTACTCACTTTATTCTTTGCAGTTGAACCCGGTCCCGCCATTCCAACTGCCGTGGTTTGCTTCCTCCATCACCAGCGTTGACATGGGCAATTTTGGAGTGGCGAGACCGTCCACATTCATACATTCATAGGTTGGAATGCACCATGGTCTTTGCCCACATGCCGATCCAGCTGGGTGGACTCTGTAGGGATTGGGCTCATTGGAGGGAGTAAAAATTCGGAAAAAGAAATCTTCAGGGAGGGACTAGACCACCGCGAGGACCATGATGTTGATACGACATTAACAAGTGGCAGTTTTGAGAGAAATCGTTCTCACCATAATTGATGCTTCTGATGAAATAGATCATGTGTAAACGAGTAAACGAGCTGCTTGTGACAAATACTTCCTCACTCTATGAAAGAAAGGTGTTTCGAATCCTGAAACCGAGTTATGACTCCTCTCGACGTTAACGATCTGGGCCCAATAAGAGTATGAGCGGTAATTTTCACATATGGGCACCCCCCACCAGCAGTGCCAAAGATGTCGTAGATGTCAACAAGTACTTTGCGTCACCTGTGCAAGGGCCGCATTGAAGCCCATAAATCTTCAATTTTTAACGTGGCCAGAGAACCCACCCCGAAAAACAAAAGCATGGCCTTCCGAAATCTCTCGCTGTCTGATATCCAAGTTTTCGACGAACTCACTTCATTGACCAGCGCGGCGAAAGACTTAGCTATACTATATTAAGTATTGTGACCGTCTGTTTTAGAATATTTTTAACCAATATCGCTGTTGCAGTGGCATTGTGTTTCCTGCATCCCTCTGGTGGACTTGTTGTTGCCACCTTTGTTGAGGACGTAGGCACTACGCAACAAGATTTGTATTTCACCAATTGTATCTTAGAAAGAAGAAAAGCGTTGACCGCACTGAAACGATGAGCATCGAACACACATGGTACTGCTCCCTGTTTCAACGTAATTTTTTCAATCAGCAACCCTGCAGCAAACGGGCTGCATCTTTGATATGCATGTGGACTACGTCCGGCTTGGCCCGCAGTTACAAGAGTTTCAACAGCAGTCTGTTAGGTCGTCTCAGATTTTTGATTCGGATGCTGTAATGAGTCGCATAGCGATTCAGTCCCCACATCATACAAATTCCCTTGTAGGAAAAAGCGTCACATGAACTAATATAAAGGAGGTGATGAAACAGAATCTTATATGATAATTCGAGCAGAGCGGTTATTCAAAGGACTGAGATGTGAAGCACTCTTTCCAGGGGTTCCCTGGATATGCGGGAGGTGAACGGGACTTCACCCTTTCGAGGGCTTTGACCCACAACACGCTCATGCTAAGGTCTCCATCCGATCAAGAAATTTTGTTTCATGCAAGATGGGATGCCATCTCGCACAATGCTGCAATCCATTTGACCTCCACCATCAGTCACGGATTCAAAAGCCCATGGCATTTCGCCGCCGTTCAACTTCCACTGTATCCTATGTTGTCTGCATAGGGATGCCTCAATGGCCCAGCAAATCGACTAGTTACTGGAACGAGGGTATTATTCATTTAAGAAACTTCCAAGTATGAAAACAACATCAGACAGGAGGGTTCATCCTGCAATCTAAATCGATTCAGGGAGGCAGTCCAGGGAGGCAGTCCAGGGAGGCAAAGTTGTGGAATGTGACGTTGAAGCTGGCCCGGAAGTTCACTCCAGAGGCTTAGGCTTAGGATCCAAGATCTTCATCTTCCAGGGCTCTGATTCAAGTCTGTGTTGCCTTTCACGAATGGGGTTCGGATGTCCAAGGCTGACTGAGCCATTCCAGAACCCTTGTCGGTGAGCGGATGGGGGTTATTCCCGCGGAGTGGCGGAGAGACCATTCCATGCTTCCGGTAGCAATGATAGAAGACGGCGATTCCACAGGATAGCTTATTCGGAGGAGGCTAAGCGTTGGCTGGTTTGCATAGACCATTGACGTTGTTGAAGAGTTGTCGTTGAGGTATCAAACCCGGTTGTTTCCAGATTGCCCGATTAGGAAACCCTCAGGCTCCACCTCAGCCCCCCACGTCCAGCAACAAGGACGATTTCCCCTGAACGGCAACATTTATCTGGCTATAACAGCCAGGGCTGGATATCGCGGGTTTCTTTGCATGTAATGGGCACCGAATCAGGAGCTATCCTGCAACAGCGTGCAGGAACAATGTTTACAATTGCCACCTCACTAATAGATGATTTTTTTCCAACAAAACTACATCGCCCATGCTACATCCTGGTATGATTCCAAAACGCTTGATGACAGCACATTATTGACCCGGATTGTCGGGAAGCGTATAAACCTGATTGATATGGACAGGGAGCATTTCAAGCTTGAATTAGCCTATCTGTCGCCCGCGACGGCCCGTCCAGACAGTGCCAGGAGAAACTTGAAATCTTGCGCTTCCACAGGCGAAATGAAACATGCTCTATTACGACGGCGTGCACGCCAGAGCTGCTTATTTGAAGATGCACAGGCACGTCGCCTCGCGGAATTTCAGGCGGGCCGTAACTTTCTCTATTTAGCCGACCCATTGATACTTCCCCGTTTGCGGGAGTCGCTTCGTTCTCAGAAACGAGGCCGCTAGTTGCCTGGTTCACAGCTTTTTTAGTTGGTGCCACTCGACTCTTGAGAGATTTTAGTTCCTCGATTCGACACCGGCCCCACAACCCCAGATCCCGCGATCGAACCTTGCAGATTCTGGCTGCACCAATAATGTGCCAAAAGGTCTCAAGGTTTCGGTCTCATGGCCTGAACTTGGAGATTTTGAGCCAAAATAGAAGGCGGGACAACCCGAAGAAGAGACGACGGCCCATAAAAACAATCATAATTAGAGGCGGATATAGCGGTTGGACCAAGGATCTAGATTATCCTCGCCCTTGAGCGTCTCGATCTGATCCATGTTTTCCAAAGTGGGCTCGTGTTCTTCACTTGGTATTGGCATCAGGGATCCCAATTTGTCGAACGCGGTCTATTGAGCCAAGCCTTCGGAATTACTATTCAATGAGCTTCAGAATCATTGGGGAACGAAGTGTCGAAAGGATATACGCAATAGAAGATCAAAACCGTTGGAAGACCCAACGGCATCCCAGTGTTTGAACGAAAGAAGAAGGATGATAACAATCATAATACTACTGTTAGGATTGACACGAGAATCCGCTCATACTGGTGTATGTTTATCGAATGGAAATGTCACTGACAGTGGCGTTTCCAAAACTCGTCGCTTTGGGGCTTCTGTATCCTCCTTTCCACTTCCCTTCAAGCCCCTGGGACTTCTTGCTGCGGATGTATGCTCGAGACTCCTCTGAAAGCTTCCGCACGGTCCTTGTTGCATGATCCGTCTCTTGGCAGCAGCTCACGAATCATCCTTGCTACCTGAGCACCCTGATCGGCCCCCCCCCATTAGTTTTAGCCCTGGTCGGACCCCACTCAAGCATTGACAAGCCACTCGGGGAGCTTGGCCTCGCAATGAACCGGAAATGTTGGATCACGCTGCAGGTGGAGGGGTAGTTGAACCGGGGGAGATGAAGCAGCTTGCCGTTACAGCCAGGTCGCACACTTGTGTGCGATGGATTTCAATCGCTGTTTCTTGGATATCACTGCTCGTTTTGAACAGCCGCCACTGCCTTGCTAGTAGATCATCAAGGTGCTGTTCACCCAACTACTTCATCCTGCTGGAAATGAATGTCCTAGCGACGTATATGGTATTTAAATGCCCGTTCCCCTACTTCCCATGCATTGATTTTGTCACCAACATCACCAGCACTGCTACCTGACCAAAGGTACCCAACAACTGAATCGGGGCTACATATGTCGGAGGGTAAATCCTGTCACGATACATTCTCATTCTAATTGAATTCGTTCTTTACAGCCTTTCTTGGAGGTCTCCTCGATTACCCATTATCCATCCAACGATCTTTTAGGTTCCAATAGATTTCTCACGTCTCTTTCCTTTCTCCTTCAAGTCGTCTCTTTGGAGAATACACGTATTGTCAAGGGAGATCGGATATTACCCCGGAAATCGCGCCTCTCGTTTTAGAGGCGTCGGACTGAATCATCAGCTCATACGGCATTTACATGATCTACAAGCCGATTATCAGATAAAATAAAATATTATAAACTACACCCTATTTCAGCACCATGGTTGCCAGACCTGTAGCCAGCGTTCCTTCAGGGCCTCACCTGAAACCTCGCAATAATGAATCGATGGAAGGGATTCAATCTTGGGAGTCCTCGTCCGTATGTGGATATGTCCCTGTGTCTATAATACTACCAAGGAGCTAACCTGGTGTAGGATGTATTCACGGTTGAATCTCGCTCTGCGATCCATATCCCATACCGTCACTATGCGCTGGCATATCTTGATGTGTCTGGAAATGTCCGCTATGAGCTTTCTCCATCTATGCTTGATCATAAGAGCGAAATATTTCTTCAGGACTTCGAAGAGCGGTTTTTCCAGCATGCTTCCCAATCAATGTTTCCAGGTTTGTAAGCCTAATATATCTTTGTGCAAAACAATTATTAAGGGGAAAACAGGCCAATTGAATACAAACCCAACACGCAATCCAAGAGCTAGGCGACCCCGATATCTATCTTCCTACAAAAACATGCCTGCACAGAAGCGCCAGCGATTGGAGTATACAGTAAATGCAGTATCTGAGGAAGAAGATGACGAATTTGAAGACCAGCCTGTGAACAATATTGGCTTGCCCATTGGAGACGAGGAAAAAATGCTGGCTTATTATGCAGAAGCCTTCAGAGCTTTTCAGCAGATCAACTGTCGCCAAGTTGCAAAGGCTTATATCAAGCTCATCGAGCCTCGGAAGCAGGCAAAGCATCCATACAATGGAGGAAAAGCGGGCCCAGGAGAGATCAGGGATCCCGAGAAAACTAAGCCAGAATGGTGGCCTACCGATGTGATTCATAAGGAACCTGACCATCTAAAGAAAATTCGTAAGAAGTTCTTCCTTAAACCCATCCATCTCTCTCTAAATGTCAAACAAACGCTTATGGATCATAGCGCGTGTGAAACTTCTTATTCATATATTTCGCAATTTGAGCAAATCGCACGGTATCACAGCCCGGAAACTCAAAGCCGCTGGTGAAGAAGCGCAAAAACAATGTAGGCCTCCTGAAAAGGCATCTATTCTGGATGAAATATACCGCGTTAGGGAGGAGGAAGAGCGTTATGAGCGGGGAGAAATCGGTTCGTGAAGTGCCTCTCTCGTTTTGGATTTCTATAATCTAATATAATTCCCATGTTTACTTCAGATGCCGATACTTTGGTTTATGTTGTCAAAAGAGAAAAGATGAATCGTGGCATTAGGGAGGACTCGGAAACTGCGTCTGATTCTGAGCAACAACAAGGTTATGTACCAGAGCTAGCGAGTCTAAATGAGCAGCAAAGCAGCGTGAAAATGACACCCCATGTGTTGCCAATGCACAACCGGGTCGTTCCTACCTTTGACCTCGGCGAGAACAGGAATACGCTTTTTTCAACCACAATATCGGCTCCTTTTGAATCGGCCACACCCAATCCTCTCTCCCCCATGGGCATAAAATCCGACTACGAAAAATTCACTCCGATGGGAAGTCCCATCTCAATTGATGACAGGCCCACTACGTCTAATATCAATTACCTCCAGGGTTTACCTCAGTCCCCTATCGAAGGCCAGTATATGAATCCTAGAAGCTCCGTCCCAGAAAACCAAACAGCTGGGAATTATGGCCCCTGGCCCACGCCCTCATTCCAACACCCCATTTTTAACCAAGTTGACTATGGAAACGGTAATTCTGGGGTGATTCCTCAACACTTCATGTCTCCCATGATGCCGACTCCATCCCATGCACCACTCCCTCTTCAGGGAGCACGCTCACAGCTTCCGATGGACAGGACTCCTATATTTCCAGCATTTCGTGATGATACCTAAGCTGCGATGATGTTCCATAGCGTCATTGTGAGGGATTGGTGGAAGAGTTCGAAGTAATTTTTCACCTGAACCCGCGTGCCATAACCACCCCTCCCTGGGTTATTCGTGATTTACTATACTCGGTCTTATCTTTTGTCATCTTTGTCCTGATTTCTTTCATTTTCATTTCTCATTTTTTCCTGCCATACTTACTGCAACATTTCCTCCATGAGATGGTAATGATTACGGACGAATTTTTGGGCGGCACTCTGCTTTATCGTTAGCAAAAAGGAAAACATTGCCAAGAAAGGCAACGGGGCCGTGATTTTCATCTCTTATCCAATTTCCTTGTTTTCCGTTCTGGCGTTATATGTATGGTTTCTTTACTATAACGTACATACGTTCCCGCAACACCCTCACCTCCATTCCCCTTCACTAAACTACCACCAAATCACGGAATTTCTCCTAATCCCCCATGGAACTCATAAGTTCCAGCTACGGAGATATCGTCACTCCAACCTATGTCCCAAATAAGAAAGCAAGCAACAGGTTCAACACATCAGAGGAACACACGTTTATATTTGTCCGGTTCATGCGATTGAACCGTATTGGTTATGTCGCTGCAGTTTTGTCTTTGCTCTGGATTGTGAAATTTTTATCTGCATCAGGCCTTGGCTGGCTATCAGTTAATAACATCTTGCCTTTTCTCTTCTTGCCGTTTATAAAAGCTATTGTCAGAAAATCGCAAACCGTTCTTGCCTTCTTCCCTCTCCCTCACTTGTCCCCTCAGTCCGTCCTAACAAAACGCAAATAAAAGCTGCTTATCCCCTGTCTACGTTACTTTTTTTTCCTCCCTTGGATTATGTGCCCAAACGAAATTACCTGACTTGACGCATCTTATCTTATCCTTTTGTCCCTTTACAATAACCCACGAGATTAAAGGGCATGCTCCAACTTATTTAGTTTAGTTAGCTGGATAAATGTAATACCAGAAACTCAATAATATTCCTACCTGAATTTCGTGGCGTCCTATTCGGGCTCTAGGCCTTGTGAAGAGATCACTCGGCATGTTATGTTTGAGCCGTTGGACTTTGAAAGTGGGCCCCGAGTATACGTTGTTAAGTATAACTTCGAAAATTTTCCGTCCCGGGGGCAATTATGTTAACTACAAGAAAGAGTAAGTAGAAAGAGTCAAGAAATTATAATGCACGGGGGGGGAATGGGGTGAAATCTGTGATTCCATTTCCAATCATAAATTCCCATTTGTCCTACGGGTTTTATATGTGTGAAGACATTTATTTCTATATTGTATACATTTAACATGTGCATGTTTGAACAATATAACGACGAGTACAAAAGAACTAGCCCTGCGCCCCAATTAATCAATCAAAAGTATATGTTTCATTATTTTACTTCTTCCACCCATTCAGTCCCTTGTCCGAATTCGACTACCGCACTGGAATCAAACCAGGGTCCATTTCCTGGCGGCTAAGGTCATGGCGATCCTTGTACGACTCGGTGATCTCTTCAAGACAACCTGCAGCGGCAGCAAAGAAACCGAGGAACGTCTTGCTAGGCGCAAGCACGCGAGAGAGATACTCTGGGTGAAACTGCACGCCAACATACCATTTATGCTCCTTGAGCTCGATGATTTCCATCCGCTCACCTTTCTCATCCTTGCCGACAAACGTCAGCCCGGCCTTTTCCAGCGCCTCCACCATCTTGGGATTGACCTCGTAGCGATGACGGTGCCGCTCCCAGATGGCGGGGGTGTCGCCGTATAACTTTCGAAGACGGGACCATTCTGTGTCAGGCTGGAAGATGGTGGGTCGCTTGCCCAATCGCATTGTCCCACCCATCTTTTCCTTGTTGATTTCAGGCATGTAGACGATTGCCGGGGTTGAGTGGTGCTCGTCAAATTCCTGGCTATTTGCGTCTAGACCACAGACGTTACGAGCAAATTCGATGACGGCTAGTTGCATCCCTAAGCAAATACCCAGGTAGGGAATGTTGTTGGTGCGCGCCCACTTGGCAGCTTTGATCATTCCCTCCGTCCCCCGATGGCCGAAGCCTCCAGGGACTAGGATGCCGTTTGCCATACAGACGACATGCCATGCTTTATGGAATTCTGCGGGGGAGCTCTCCTGCGTCGTCTCTTCCAAATGGGATGCATCAACCCAGACAAGGTTGATTTTCCGTTTACAGTGCATAGCCGCATGTTCCAACGATTTGCTCACACTCATATAGGAGTCGTGGAGGGATGTGTATTTGCCAACAAGAGCAATGGACACGGTCTCCTGTATGTGATCCTGAGCTGTTGCTAGGGATTTCCATGAAGTCCACGTAGCGATACCTTGTTGCAGAAGATTTTTAGGTATATTGATGCTCTCAAGCTGAAGGACACGGTTTATGGTCGAAAGAACACCTTGGTTCTCAAGAAGCACAGGAACATGATAGGTTGTTGAAACATTGTGGACTGTGAGGACCTGATCTCGATCAACTTGACATGCATTGGCGATTTTGACAATTGTTTGGTCCTCGAGAGGTCTCTCGCAGCGGCAAGCAATCTGGGAGAGGTTTATAACAATCAGCTAAAATACGGAAGCGTGTGAGGGGAATTCAAAAGAGTAGGATATACCAAGTCTGGACTGAGACCTGCACTCCGGACATCGCTGATCGCCCGTTGGGTTGGCTTCGTCTTCTGCTCGCCATCACCAGGCGGTATTACGGGAACGTAAGAAACATGGATTTGCAGAAAATTTCCCTTTCCGGCTCGTCTCTGTAGCTGACGCATGGCCTCAAAAAAGACACCTGACTCCACGTCTCCGATCGTGCCTCCGAGCTGTGATTTACAAAAAAAAAAAAAGACGTTAAATGCCGAAAATTTGTGAGAAATACGGAGGCCTCTGGAGAGAAAATTACCTCGACAATACACACGTCCGGCTCTTGCCCGGATTCATCAACGGGAATTTTAGCCACACGTTCAATCCAGTCTTGGATGGCATCTGTCAGATGCGGTACGATTTGGACTGTTTTGCCAAGATAGTCACCACGGCGTTCACGCTCAATAACATGTAGGTAGATTTTGCCAGTGGTAATATTATGTTCGTGGCTCAGAGAAATATTTAAATAGCGCTCATAGTTTCCCAAATCCAAGTCAACCTCCCCACCGTCATCTAAGACATACACCTCCCCATGCCTGGCTGCCAGTCAGTCCTTTGTTGCTCTCCTTTTAGGATTTTGCGGGGGACGAGAGTGTGGTTCATATGGGGGAACACCAACTCGGTGGGGCTCATAGTCCCAGCATCAACATTCATATACGGGTCTATCTTAATACTGGTCACTTTCAGACCACGGGTCTTTAGGAGAAGCCCAGTGCTGGAGGCAATGATGCCCTTGCCAACTCCGGAGATGACACCTACACGCGATTGTGTTAGCGACGCGCCATTCGCCAAAAAGCACACAATAACCACAAGGTTAAAAAAAACATACCTCCAGAAACCAAAATGTATTTCATGTTGATTGATGTCGAAGTGGTAGTAACGGGCCCTCAACCGGCAATTCGCCCCTCTTCGGGGAGGGGGCGGAAAGGGGGGGAGAAGAAGGAAAAGAAAAACTGAAGAAAAGCAACAAAAAGTTTTCCGGTGCAATGCTCCGCAGCGGCAGTATCCCGAGAATGGAAAAGCGGTGAATGCTGGCGCGACAAGCTCTGGATCACTTTGTACCACAGCAACTAATCTAGTATGAGAAGTGACTTTGTCAGACAAACAAGACAAACATAAAATGCACTGTTCTTTCTCATACTAAATTAGTGTAATGTAAAGGCGACCATACCCAGATGAGTTAAGTTAGTTGAGTTACGGAGAAAAGTTGTCCTCCGTATCTGATCAAGGCACGAATAATTATGCCCTAAACAACCCCATTTGATAGATGCTGGATGGGGATTGTAGTTAGGCTTCAGAGGGTCATGACCAAAACTCCCTGACCACCCAATGTGTTTAGACGCTAAACTATTTCAAATATGATTTTTCTGCCGCAAAAAGGCACCATGATTGTGGTGAGGGTTTCCATTCAATTAGAGATTGGGGAGAAGGGATGACATTTTGTTGGAGTTTCTCAGTTCCAACAGAACAAGACCTTCTCACGAGCATTACAAAGCGAATGTTGAGAGCAAATTTGTTACCATAACTCAGTGGACCATTTTCATGCAATCACCACCAAAAACGAACGTGCATAGGTTTTGTAAAGCATTATTGGTAATATGATCCATTTTCATAGTTAACGAGTTAACCACAAACAGAGATTTTCATGTAAGAATATATCAATTAACTAGTTAACTATATATATTTTATAAAAGGAGTTTCAATACTTTGGGCAACTTCTCAAATTCTGCAAGTGGCCCGCATATTTTGAGTGCGTCATTCCGCTACTTCGACCCCGTTGTCTTGACGGCTGCAGTTCCTGTGGAACCGGTGCAGAATTCATTCCCGCTTCGTTGTGAATCCTCAACTTTACTATATAGGAATTTGTGATCAAGTAAATAGAAACATAGAGCAACAGAAAAGAACACTCTAGAAATTGCCATGAGTGTTAGCCGTCCTTTCCAAGCTTTCGATTCATTTCCGAGCACGGGTAAGTTGTAACCACGGCGCGTGCGCCTCTAGATGTCCTGGGTCTTCAAGTCTCGGAATAGATCACAGGCTCATGGCCTATGGGGCTGTGCTCCAGCTATCTTCAGAGCTCAGAGACAATTACTACTGCTTCTCCTTCTCCTTTCTGTGTTGAATCTTCTTGGTTATATATCAGTCAATGGTTTTTTAAACCCCAATTCCATTGCCTGTTCCGGTCAATTTCTAGGCCGGAAATATCATTTTTCATGTATTGCATTCGCCATCAACAAAAGTTCACACGCTCTTCTCATTGTAATAGTTCCAGTTTAGATCTTTCAAATTAGAACTAGTTAGTCTAGATATTCTTATTAAGAAAAAAAAAAACAGGTGTAAAACATGCAAATCTTGTGGAAGGCTTTAGCGCTACGCCAAAAGGATCAATCCTCAAGGTAGCCGCCACCTATTCCTCACGATATATATATGTACGTATATGCATGATTCACACCAGGTAATGGACTTTACAGGGTTGAAAATATGGAACGCCCCTTTGAGGTCCAGGTCGAACGGCCGTCATTGGGTGTTCCTTTTCGATGATGGGATATTTCAAATATCTGGCTACCGTAGAATCTGCTTGCATATCACAGAGAGAAAGTATAGAAGTAATAATATCGATTGGGTATATACCCAAAGGGGATGGCCGTGGGAGTATATCCATCAGTAACAAAGGCTTCAAAAAAGGTACAGTACGCCCTGTGTTGCATTGATATCTACCATTATCTAGTTAGAAGCCAAGATGGCGCGCCCCCCTCGTGGGGAGGAATCTTACAAGTTAGCTCAAGAAAACTCTGCCGCTGCAGAATGAAGATAGTAAGTTAGTAGCAGATAGGAGTTTCGTTGAAAACGAAACTTATAAAAAATGAACCCATCGGTGCCTACTTCACTAAAAAGGTAAGCAAGGAAGTGATGGAAACTTCTAATGCCCTCTCCAAACAGCGAAGCCACAGGCACAGGAACGGGCTGAATGCTTGGCAGATAGGGACCACGACTAGGGGGACATGTGGCCCGCCTCCATGTTTACATCTGCCCGCGATCCAGATTCACCAGAAGATAGCCGTTGAGCTTGGGCGGAGGGTCTTCTTAGCTTGTCCTGTGCGAACTCATTTAGGCAAATCCTTAAATGGTTAAGGGTTGATAGTGATTTCGTCCCTTTTTCTTCGGATATAAGCTTAGATATAGGTGTCATGTACTAGGTTAGCTGGCAGGGGAGGAATTTTGAAGACGTTTGACCTGGCATACCAATTGATATGATAAAAAGTATATCTTGCTGGTAAGGCATGAATGAAATCACGTGACCACATATGACACGTGACAAACAGGCCACTGGCCTTATAGAGAGTTGCCAACAAGCAGGACACTGTATATACCGTTATCTCGGCTACTCTAGAATTGGATTTTTTTTTTTTTTTCGCAACACATGTCTGCAGCGGTTGCCCCGCTTTTTCGGATAATCTCCATCCAATCATTACCTCGTATACTCAGTGCAGCCATGGAACTAACCACAGGGGCTCAGCCCCGCTTATTACAGCCAACCAAAGCATAGGCTGTGCGGATAATAGACGCAACTTGAACCACAGGAATTGGATGTTTGCAGGCCAAAAAAAATAAGCGGCGGCAAAAGACCCAACGGTAGAGGGCCCCCGCTTTGATATGGATTTTCAACTAAATTTAGATCAGAACACGTTATGTATCAACATTTGCACCAGTTGCGGCAGTGTGGCCCGGTGCGCGTTGTAGAAAATATATCTTTGCGCTTGGATGGACCTTCAAAACCTGGGAAAAAGCCACCATTCCCGCTATTATTAGCAGTACAAGGCGGGTTTTGGCATGGCTTATTAGTAATGACTCTCCTGACATCCGCCGACCGCAGTCCAAGCTTTCTGGAGTAATCTGCACCCGGCTTCCGCCGGCGGGGAATGGAACGCTTTTAAAACACAACGGGGCCACCTTCGTCCCCAACCACCATAAATATCATATATTTTTTTTCGATACCCCCCCCATCGAGTAATGCACAGAACCCCCACAAACAGCACTTAAACAGCACCTTCTCTTCTTCTGCCCGTCGTCGTCGTCGACGTCGCCAGTCATGAACTGCCCATCGCGAACGGATGAATCTCCAGGCCATCCACAATGGAACCAGAATCCACCATCGTTGACGGCTGATCTGACCACTTGCGAGGACCTCAATGGAACTGTAAATTCCCGATCGTACAGGAATCGGGATTCGCATTTGCGTTGCGATTCTACTCAGAATCCCGATAGTTTAATGGGGAGACCGCCGTCCGAGAATCATCGTCCCCCCGTGCGCTCAGAGCGGGGTGCGGAGTCAGGTTGTCCTTTTTCGAATAAAGAAGGTATTTTTTTGATTTGTATGCATACACGCATATTATATATATATATGCGTGTGTGTGTGCAAACCTTTCTTGAATTAAGCTGAGAATAGTAGAAATATTCCCGCTAACATGATAACTGCAGACACCTACTCTCTCACCCGTGCTCTCCTCCCGGGAAAAGGCCATGCTACCAGTTGGCCTATCGGGATATACCAACGATCCCGTCGGAACCGAGCTTGGATCTGGCGAATTGCGTTGGTCTTATTATTTGCAACTTTATCTTTTTCCTTTGGAAGTGCTGTACTTTCCTATGGTAGGTGCTGAGACATCTCTGTGTTTCAAAAAACGCCCCTGATTGGCGGAGAAGCGACTCATTTCTCCCTCGTGTCTGAATATATATGTCTTTTGTCATTTACTCCTTTCATTTGATTTATTCCTTTCACATGAACACGCAAAGTTAATCTACTCCAAGCATCGACCGTGAAATCAAAGCTGGCCAATAAGCTGCCCACCCGCGGCCTCCAGCGCCGCGGAACCTGCTCCAACAACCCGGCTACCGAAAGCCAATACAACACGCCCCTCCACGTCGGGAGCCTGCTAATCATCCTGTTCATCTCCTCCCTGGCCTGCTCATTCCCACTCATGTCCATCAAATTTAGCTTCCTCCGCATCCCGTCCTGGTTCCTCTTTCTCGTCCGCCACTTCGGCACAGGCGTCCTGATCGCAACGGCCTTTGTCCATCTATTACCTACCGCCTTCGGCTCGTTGAATGACCCCTGCCTGTCCCGTTTCTGGACACATGACTACCAGCCCATTCCAGGCGCGATCGCGATGGCTGCCTTGTTCCTGGTGACGGTTGTGGAGATGGTATTCAGTCCTGGGAGGCATTGTTGTGGCAATGCAGGGAATACGGAGATTTACACCAAGGGCGGCATGGAGGATGGCCGTGGGAGTTGTGCTGCTCGCAGCGATTCTGAACAGGACAGTCGTCTGGAGAAGCTGAAGACCGATACGACCGGTGTGAATGCCTTGATGCGCCGGGAGCGGCCGCTAAGTGGCAATTCGAGTAGTCTTGGTCGTGAGTTAGCGCATCTTAATGCAGATCTTGTAGAGATGGAACGGATGCAGACAGTGGATCGAGGAGAACCGCCGATGATGGAGAATGGCAAGACCGTTACGGATGACAACAAGGTGCTGAGTGATGATGACGAATCCTCGATTCAGCTGACGCCGGAGCAGCGGCATAAGAAGGCTGTGCTGCAGTGTATGTTGTTGGAGATGGGGATTTTGTTTCACAGTGTTTTTATTGGGATGGCGTTGGCGGTGTCGGTCGGGAGCGATTTCATGATTTTGTTAATCGCTATTGCATTTCATCGTATGTCTCCCCCTCCCCCTGCCTCCTTCCCTCCGTATCCCTTTCTTCCCCATACCCCTTCAAAACAAGACCGGATTGATTTTTGGGAGGATCCGAAACGAGACTAATGAAATTGCAGAAACTTTCGAGGGCCTGGCGCTCGGCTCGCGCATAGCGGCGATTGACTGGAGCCATAAGAAATCGCAACCATGGCTCATGGCTCTTGCATATGGCTGCACGTATGTTTGCCCACCCCCCCCCCCCCCCCCCCCGCACTCCCAACCAAATATAATGAATTCCCTTCCATCAATCTGCAATTTTCGAAAATGCATTCTAATTATCTCCACAGAACACCCCTGGGCCAAGCAATCGGCCTGGCAACACACACCCTCTACGATCCGAACTCAGAAGTCGGCCTGATAATGGTCGGCGTCATGAACGCTATCTCATCCGGTCTGCTTCTTTTCGCATCACTGGTTGAGTTACTAGCCGAGGACTTCTTGAGCGATGCGAGCTGGCGCACGCTGCGTAGCAAAAGGCGCGTTACCGCTTGTTTCCTCGTTTTCCTCGGTGCTCTTGGCATGAGTTTGGTTGGTGCCTGGGCCTGATTTGTTGGCTTTGGGCTGTGATTTACTACTACGTGGTTTTTTGGTCTTTATGATTATTTAGGGGAGGCCGATTTTAGAATTATCTGCCACTTTCGTGATATGGCTGTTGATATTGTGACTCAGATACGGGGACAAAGAAAACGTGGAGGACTATGTTGCTATCTTGCTAGACGTGGTGCATTTGTTGAAATTTTTCTTCACGTTAATATCGTTTTCTGCATGTCATTTTCTACAACATTCAGCGTTTTCGTTGTCTTTTTGAGCTTGAGAATATCTGCTTCACTTTCAATTATAGATAGTCTAAATTAGCCGATTTAGCTGTAAGTTAAGCGCCAAACACGCTGCAAACAACAAAAACAACGGCAAAATGGAAGCTTTTCGTACACTCACTCGGAGGTGTGGCTTTCCTTGTTGATACATCTGGTACATATACGCCTTGACTTGCACCCGAAATGGTACGTGGTTGATTAAGGGACTACAGTCCCACGGGTATCGATGTTGAGTGCAATCGCTGTTCCTGGCATTCTCTGCATTGCCCAGAATAGCCTAGCGTTGGATTCCAAAACGCTTCCCCATATCTTCATCCCAACATTCACGGCCGTCGCGGAGGCTGCTGCTGTCCGGCCTACAAAAGCAACAGGGAATCCGCCTTACATGTCACAAATAAATGTACATCACTGATTCTCCACAAGCATCCACCCGGCCTCTTTTCTGGCTTGCGACGTTTTTGCGGACATAAACCTCCGACTTATCCCTCCGCGTGAGTTCCTTTCCATCCTCGAGCGCCAGCGTCAAAAAGAGGCCAAGCGGCGGACTGGTAATAACGTTCGCATACCACAGGTATAACGTATCTTGCTGTTGAGTACCTGCTTTGTGCTGCTTCATTTGCATTTTGGTGCCTTCTCCTACCTTCCACCTCGCTCCATACGTTCTATATTTAATTCCAAGCTCCGCGCCATTTTCATTCCCCCGAGGCTCAAATTGCTTTGATCAAAGTGTTTGATCTCACGATCTCATAGGCTAACCTTTCTTTACTTTCCTTACGATGTTTATAGTTGATAGGTCTTGGCCGCGGAGCCTGTGTCGGTTTTCTCCCTCCTTCTCCGCTGCTGCTATTCCCGCCCGTTATATATTGAAGGGACCCTACGAGCAAAAATATAAATTTTGAGGTTGCTAGGGATATCAGACTTAAGAGGGGATTGCGTATTCCCCCCTTTTTCTTTTGCCAGGGTGGGATGGGTCGATATCGGCTCCTTTGCAAATAGCCGTTCCGCGGCGTGAAACCGCTTTTTACTGAAAAGAATTACGAAGTACGTCCCAAGACCAATTCGTCTTCTTTGGTCATATTCGACTTAAATTCCAATCCGAATTTTTGAGATACCGGCAATTCAGGGCGATTCCTTTCCTCTACCGATTCGACCTAAGGGCTTTGAAACCCCACCCCTCACACACCTCCTGATCGATTCCCCTTGCTGCCCCTAATGCGACTTTTCTTATTTCTTTTCTCCATATCATGATCTAAACGTATGACACAACAGATATCTTGGCCTTGACGAGAGTGTACACGATGTCAGTTACGTGGAGGGGCTCCTTGCTGTCAGGTCCTGCTGGTTCCAAACGAGGCACCACTGGCCCATCATCTTCTCGCGGTCGCGTATGGAGAGGCAGCTCTGGAGGATCGCAACCTGCACCTAGCACTGATGATAGTGCACGAGGTGCTAAAACTCGTGCACCTAGCCGCGGTGGGCCTCGAGGCGGACGCGGGAGGCGGGGCGATATGTCAGGTACTTCTGCGCAACCGACCGGTGCATCAGGCAGGTCAAATGCAGGGCCATTTCGAGGTAATGACAATAGCAAGCTAGACGAGTCACATTCATTGCTAAGTTTGTAATGGTTTAGGGGCTGAAAGGAGAAACCTAGATAATGGATCTCGATCCAAAGGCGGCCAAGAAAATGGTATAAAGGCTCCTCCGGTATTCGGCTCGCGATCGGGGACTTCGAGTGGACAGTCATCACGGCCTTCGTCTCCATTCGGCTCAATCACGAATACGAATGGGTCCTTCACTGACCGCTCAAGAGATCCACAGAGGCAAAGTGCCAAATTCTCAGGTGGAAGCGCAAAATCCGGAAAACCGCAAGATTATAATAGTCGCTATGAGCAGGTAATTTCTTGCTTGGATGATTTGGCTTCTCCAATTGGTGTGTCCACGGCTAATCGATATTGGGCTTTCTAGTTGAAACTTGACCGTGCTAGGCAGCGCACAGAAGCCGTGAAGTCCGGACAAATGGCTGACCCGAATCAACCAATATCCCTGACAAGTGCAATTACTCCAACAGGCACTTGTACAGAAATGTGTCCCGAATTCGAACGAGTGGAACGCATTGTTCAAAAGATGGTTGATAAGAGTGAAAAGGTCTTATACGCTCTTCATCGTCTCCCATCAAGTTTTATCAGAACGCTGACCTGGTTGACTATAGTTTACCGATCAGGAATCTGGAGTGTCTCATACAGTTGAGGCCAAAATGCTTAAGAGATTCAGAAGATCTGCTGCTGGCTATGACGAGCAGTTACCTTCAGACATCAGAACTCCAAAAACCCTCCTTCAAACGATGAATTATCTTCTACGATATGTTGTAGAAGATGACGAAACTCTAGCTACCACCCACAAATTTCTCTGGGATCGCACACGCTCAATTCGCAATGATTTATCTATTCAACAACTTACTCAAGTCCAAGATGTCTCAATTGCAGTGAAGTGTCTTGAACGAATTGCCAGGTTCCACATCGTAGCTCTCCATCTCCTGTCCAGTCCTGAAAACTCGGAACCCTTTGATCACCACCAAGAACGAGAGCAGCTAAATAATACCTTATTATCCCTCTTATACTACTACGATGACAACCGAAATTTGATCAAGTTTCCCAACGAGGACGAGTTTCGAGCCTATTACATTGTGTTCTCCATACACGACCAGCGGCCCGATCTCGAAGCTCGAGTACAAAACTGGCCTCGGGAATTGTTACGGTCACCTCGGGTTCAGGTTGCACTTGAATTGTTTGCTGCAGCTGGGAATGCTTGGGAATACCAAGGCACCTTGGATGCGAAAAGGCCGAACGCAATTGCCCAAGGCCTCTATGCGCGCTTCTTCCGCCTTATTCAGTCTCCTAGCGTCCCATATCTCTTAGCGTGTATTGCAGAAATATACTTTAACCAGGTCCGGCAAACGACAATCCGATCGATATGGAAAGCGTATTGTCGACACCCTATTTCCCAACAACACAAGAACCAAGAGTGGACTGTTGACGAGCTTACTGGAACACTGGCGTTTGACGATAACCATCAAACCATTGATTTTTGCGAGGAACAAGGGCTCCAGTTTGCGACGAATGCTGACGGGCAGATGTATCTAAATTGGGGCCAATTTCCGCTTGATTCTGTCGGTGCGTGATTTTATCCGCCAATAATTTCATCGATCTTGTAGGAGCGTGAATCTGACTTACTTTAACCATCAATGATTGGTTATAAAATAGCCTTCCAGCCATCCTCCCAACAAACATTTTCATACGAGTACGTCGAATCTAAGCGTTGTGGAAGGACTCTAGTGGCGCTTATCCTTGGGATGAACGTTTTGCAAGCTTCCAGGCACGGGATGATCGATCAATCCCTTTTACCAACCGAATTGACATTGGAACAAAATCCGAAACAGAATATGGAGTCAGATGGACTGTTTGTTAGTGATCATGAAGATGAAATTCAAACGCATGATGCAACGAGCTGGCAGTCGGATAAAGGAACTATCGGAACTTTCAAGCCTACGTTTTCATTCCCCAGCGTTGCGGAACCAGTGTCCGCCACGAATGAGTTAGCTCAAGTGGCCGCAAGGGATCATTTCTCGCCTAGTGTTCCATCTACGCATCAAACGTTACTCCCCAAGCAAGGACAGCTATCTCCCAGCGCTCAGCCTTTCACACCTCAAGCCCAATCACCGTTTATGGGAATTATGGCATCGGTAATATTCCCTTGCATATGTCGCAATGCTGGATTCTTGATTGTTTTTGTCTTGGTTAGATCTTCGACCCGCTTGTAGCGCTTGCTAACGAGGTATTTGGTCTATAGTCTACTTTCAGCTCTCAACAGCAGCAAGTCGATGCACCACCTTCGTCAGCACAACCCGCCAGTGCCTTTGGAAGCTTTGGTCAGCCTTCTAGAAGCCTATTTCCGCCTTCGCAATCCACACCTCAACCAAATCCACCAACTTTCTCCTCCACATTTGGCGCCAGCCTAGGATCTTCTCTGGGATCCAGTTTTGGTTCAAACTTCGGCATGCAGAAAGGTAGCCAGCAGTCTCAAACTGGGACATCTGCTCCCATAAGCCCAGCCCTCAAACCAACGAGCCCCAGCCCCCCAAAAATATTTTCACAATCGACTTCATCACCGTTCACGCCTCCACCCAAACCGGAAGAAACGGCAATGGCTCCTGAACAGTCCACTGCCAGTGCAACACCTCGTGAGCCCTTATTTAGGCCTTTCCCAAGTTCCCAATCAGACAAGCAGCCTAGTATCTTTGATAAAGGTAGTATGCTGTATAACGCCCCATACGATTCGGTATCCGATGCTGATGGACATTTAGTTACACCACCAGCACCCTTTGTGAGCTCGGGATTATTTGGCCAGCCTAGCAAAATTGGGGCTGATCACCAAACCAACAAGGCTGACGGCGTCTCGTCGATGTTCTCTACAACTCCGGCAGCGTCAACTTTGAAGCAGGACCAACCAATAGCCAATCCAACTCCTACTTCGAGTATATTCTCATCCTCACCCTTCCCATCATCGGCGCAATCATCAGGTATGTTATAGTTTAGTAGGACAATTGAACTTTATTGTGTGACCTTCATTGTCGATGTTCACTATATATCGACGAGCTGACCTGTCTTGTAGCTTTCAAAGCACCGGCGCCAAAGTTTGAATTTACAAGTTCCTCCGATACGCTCAGAAAATCAAATGAGGATGTCGAAGCGCGGAAGGCAGCTGAACGAGAAGCTGCCGAAAGAGAGGAAGCAGAGAAGAAGAAGAGAAATGCCGAGGAGATGGAATCGAAGAGGCGGGAGGCTGAGAAAAGAGAAGCAGCTCGGCGGGAAATCGAGCGGGAGCGTGATCGAAGACGAGCTGCGGCGGAAGAAGCTGCCAGGCTCGAACGGCTTGAAAAGGCTAGGAAGGAGGAAGAACTGCTACGTGCTAGACGTCTGGAGGAAGAAAGAGCAAAGGCGGCTGAGCGTGAGGCTGCGCTGCGCGAAATGGCGAGACAACAAGAGGAAGAACTCCGTGCTGCAAAGTTAGAAATCGCAAAGAGAGAGGCTGCGGAGCGCGAGGCCGCACGCCAAGACGCTGCAAGGAGAGAGTTGATAGAACAAGATATTGCGAAGCGGAAAAATGGTTTCACTGAAGACGAGGATGAAACTGGCAAGGAGCAGTATGGAGCTAGCAGGCGGATATCAGAAGGAATGCTCACCGTCGAAGAACTCCTCAATTTTGACCGTCCTCGTTCCGACTTGAGATCCTCACAGCAACCACAGCCACAACCGTTGCCACTGGCATCCCGTTCTCTCACCGAATCGACAATCAACGAGGACGAACTCCTCTTCTCCGCGGCGCGCATGGCAGCCAATACCCTCGCTCATGGAAAAGCTTTATGGCACGATGTCCCAGAGCTTCGGAACTCCGTGTCGATGTCGATGTCGATGTCCCCCGTCTCCACCCCACGCTTCAGTCGGTCCAGTATCGGGCCCGACGGCTCTATGGAAACGAAGGGCGGCCACATCCTTGTTAATGGATATGATGTTGCTCTTGCGCCAACAGTGCCGCTGGGGCTTGGCCGTACTTTGTCCCGCACGGAACAGAGGATCCGCCAAACGGGTGCGAAGGGTTTTGCGTCGCTGCCCATCGCATCGTCACCATCGCCTGGTAGCGGGAGTAGCCCGAGTAGCGTCAGGTTGTCAAATGGAAAATTGCAGAAACGGAAACACAAACGGCAGAAGCGGGAGGAAAACACGTGATCTTTTCTTTTCTTTTTTTTCGACGATAGCCCTGATGATGGTGTCAATTATGGGAATATTATGCATGCGAGTCTTGACAGCGATCGAGCGTTTTTATATATCCTCCGATATTTGGATTCTATTTTGTTCTTCTGCTGGCTTTTGGCGTTTTTGGTGGGAGGTTCGCTTTGATGGGTATTCATGGACTGTACGTATATTTTTCTTGGGGGTTATCTTCAATTGCGTTAGTTGGGCATGAGTATCTGGACGGGTTCCATTTATCAATTTAAATTTTAGAGGGAATGGGGAAATATGATTTTTGATCTATCTTTTCTCTTGATGAAATTGAGCGTTAACCTAATAGGAGCTTACTGTGCTCACATAAACATGATATGATGGCTTTTGCCATTTCAATTACAGAGTCACCAGCCTGTTCAACACCTCATCCTGTTCATCTATCTCGGTTCATTCTTTTCAAATCTGTTCCACTCCCCCTCTTCTGTCATTCGTTCATCCACCAGCCCCTTGAGATGTAACTCGGTCACATGACCTTACAATCCTTCCCTTGATTTGGAAATATGCTTCTTCTATCTCCATTCTCACCGCGCCAGAAAGACATTACCACCATCGTACATGCACACTCGCCCTAGTTGCCATTCTCTATTTGCTTTCCCCTTTAATTTTAACAGCAGAGTATACATACATATATCCTCACACGAATTCTCAAAATGCGAATCGCCATCCTCCAGCTGTCGCCGCGGCTGGGCGATGTGCAGGGCAATATCCGCCGTGCAAATGCGCTGGTAGATGATTTGGAGAAGAGGTTGATGGGATTAAAGCACGAAGCTGAACGGGATGGATGGAAGGGTAGTAGGAGCAGTAGTCTTGTTGGTAGCCGTGTGGGCTCTGGTGCTGCAGCACGATTGTTGGATGTCTTGGTTTTGCCAGAGATGGCGTTTACGGGTGGGTAAGCTGTAATGGATTGTTTTTATTGATCCTATCTATCCATTTTCGTTTTGTTTGATTGAGAGTGTTTTGAATTTATTTGTCTTGGGGCGTATGGGTGGTTGGGAGAGGGGTTGTTTTTGGTCCCGCCGATGAGAAATATTGACTTCAACCGGGCCTCTCTCCCTATTCATTCATATCACATATCCGCTCCACTTGTTCGATGATGCTAAATCCATCCACCCACATGGGTATTGACTATCACTCCTTTTGGCACTACAATGGCGTCCATCAATAATATCCCCCCCTTCCCCCTTTTCCCCCTTTAACCACGAAATATGGATAATTATGACCTGCTAACTCTTCCGCCCAGGCTACAATTTCCCGTCCCTTCAGGCCATCCGGCCATATCTTGAGCCCACAGGATCAGGGCCAACAGCTCAATGGGCTCGATCCACCGCGCGCCGCCTCGGCTGCGTTGTGTGCGCGGGTTATCCTGAGCTTGCGGAGGCAAGAACTACGTCAAATTTAGAATCAGAAGTTACATCGACATCGGTATCGGCATCGACATCACTGCCACCATCACCGCTGAAGAAAAGTGATGTGCAGATGGCAGCTGAAAATGAAATGCATGATGGACCGCCAGAAGATCCTCATGGTAATGGTGATAGGAAAGAAAATAACACCGTAGCTAAACGTGCAGCGACACACTCCGTGACGAAAACCACCTCTACGGACGGAGAAAACAACACCATTGCCAGCTCGCCCACAAATAACAATCCCAATCTCTATCCCAATCCAAACCCCAACAATATCCCCAAAACCGATCCC